GACTTCGGGAAGTCAATTGGCCGACGTGTCTTCACGTCACTCGATGAAAGCGAAAGTAAGCTTGGGGAGATAGAATGTCCGCACAATGTTTGAACCTAGCAAGGCTGCCCAGATTACCAAAGAGATGAGGAGGTATAGCATTGAAGTGCATGGAATCTGCGAGGAATCTGTAGATTGAATGGAAGTAGACTATCCAAACTGTCAACTGGAGAGTCAATATTCTACTCCAGTCACCCAGGTGACAACCATGAACGAGCATACTGAGTTTTGGAGTAGATATCATGATGTCCCCAACAGGATCAAAGGCTCTCTGTCATGCAGTGGGAACCAATCTCCTGCAGGATAAGCATCATGCCAGCAAGATGGGTTCAATTCAAAAGCAAGGAAAATCACAATCATTCAATGCTACGCACCTACAAAGAATGCAGATAGAGAGAAGAAGGAGGAATTCTATAGACAACTGCAATTGGCACTGGACAAGACCTCAGTTGGCGACATCAAAATTCATTCTAATGGGTGGGGTGACATGAATGCTAAACTGGAAGCAGACAACCCTGGAAGAGAACTCATAATGGGTTGAGAAGTACCCAGTGAAATGAATGAGAATGGAGAACTGTTTGCAGACGTCTGCGCATTCAACGACTTGGTGATTGGAGGTAGTGTTTACAAACACAAGGATATTCACAAGGCAGTGACATGGATTTGATGGACACAGATGGATACACTACACTAAGCACCAGATCAACTTCATCTCAATGTTAAGAAAGTTGAGATGCAGCCTACTGGACACAATATCAGATCACGAAGAGGAGCAGACGTAGGTTCACACCAATCACAATCTAATGCAGGCCTCAAAATCAAGTTGGAAGCCTTCAAAGAAGTCACTAATGATACACCACAGTTCAAGTTCAACAACTAGAACATAGACTGAGGGACGAGACTTTAATGGACATCTACACACCAGTCAGCCATCAGGACAAAATGAAAGAATTAAGCAGCATCCCCAAAGGAAGCTGTGTGGAAGAACATTGAAACTCTTTGAAAGCAATGTAGAAAGAAACATGCATAACCGTATTAGGAAGGAAGAAGAAACGTGACAAGACAAGGAATGGAAGTCGATGAACACATGGAATTTGATAGAGCAGTGAGAGGAAGATGGTGAAGCAGAGAATGAACTGGTACAGTCTAGTGCAGGGATGAACAAAGAAAAGAGGAAGAAAAGGTATCTGCCCATTGATTGGAAGAAGGGCTATCTTGTCAAACTCACAAACAAATGAGACATAAGTCTTTGTAAGAACTGGCGCGGAATCGTGCTCCACTCCTCTCCACCCGAAACAAAATATTAAGCCGCATCATCCTAGAGAGAATAAACAGTGCGTTGGATTCACAATTACGACCGGAACAGGCTGGCGTCAGCAAGAACAAATCATGTGCAGACCAAATTGCAACGCTGCGCATCATCATATAACAGAGCAAAGAATGGCAGTCAACTTCATTGACTCTGAAAAGGCATTCGATAGCATCAGTCGAGAAGTAACTTACAGTTGCTTCAACACCACGGAATACCACAAACCCTCATCAACCTCGTTCAACAACAATACGCAGATGCCGCATGCCAAGTGATTCACAATCGAAAGCTCAGTGATGCCTTAGAAGTGAAAACAGGAGCAAGACAAGGCTACCGCCTATTATCACAGATCACCCTCCTGATTGTCGCTGACTGCATCATGCAGCAAACATTGAGGAGTGAGAAGATGGGTATATGCTGTTTGATCGATGAAAAGAGACTAGAAGATTTGGATTTCACTCATGATTATTTATGTCAAATGTCGTACAAATTCGAAGATGTACAGGCAAAAACTAACAAGTTGACAGAAGAGGCAAGGCAGCGATGACGGGACTTCAAGTGAAGGTTGCAGAAGACAGATGTGGTCAAGATACCCAACTAATAACTATAGCAACAGCAAACACCAATCAACATCAACGGGAGGGATCTAAAGAGAATTGTCCCTTTCACCTCTTTTCAACTACAGGCGGTGCAGGCACAGATGAGGTTGTCAAAGGAAGAATCAAGAAGACAGCAAGACAGGCCTTCATTAATCTGAAATCAGTAGGAAGATCTACTGCAGTCAGCATAAAGCATGAACAAGATCCAGATTTTCAACACTAATATCAGTCAAGTCAGTGCTTCTATGTGATGGTTGAGAGACTTGGCGCGTTATGTAAAGCATTTCCAACTAACTGCAGGTGTTCATCAACAGCTACCGCCTGAGCCCACTCGATACTGAAAATGAATCTGAGATGGTCGGATAAAATAAGCGGCAGGGAACTCTGGCTGGCTACCAACGAAATAAAAACTGAGGACCTATGTCCTAACAAATATGCCGAACAGAGTGGGCATACGCTGAGAAGACCGTTTGTGGAGATCACGCGTCAGGCCAGGCTATTGAGTGGAACCCAAATGGGAAACGTTGAGTTGGGCGTCCGAGACGAGGGTGATATGTAGGAGATCATATGAGGAAGAAATGAAAACTTCTAGGCAGTCGTGGATCGAAGTTGGAAAGACTGCAGAGAAGAAAGTGGGATGGGGACGTGTTACTGAATCCCTATGTCCCACTAGGAACTCAAGGGACAAATAATAATGATATAACAACACTGAACTTGCCATGAAAGTCTCAATTTTTTGAAGAACGCCATATTAAGTAGGACAGGTAGTTTACCTCAAGGGTCCATTCATCGAAAGAACCTATCACGTTGACTACAACTTGGCATTGGTTAAAACCATATTTTACAGAGTAAGAATGATATATTTCGGTGACCAGATGGAGGAAGAGTTGCGTACAGTCGAAAAATGACAGTGGGTGTCCACAAGAGTTCATCAACAGGTATAGAAATACCGAAGATAAAAATATGGTCAACAAAGTGCTTCTATTCCTTAGTCTCTAATCCAAAGGTGATGACATCGCAGGAACTAATAGCAGATGAGTGAAGGCATCACTAGCTCAAACTTTACCTATAGTTCAGTCAAAAGTTGACAGGCACCCTTGTTATGTTACCTCTACACATATCGGTTTACTTGTAGCTACTAAAGCAAATAATTTGGAAGAATAGAAGGAAAGGGATATTTATGATTTTCTGAACACTTTTAGAAGAGTCTACAACTTCGGAGAAGTAACGCTTTGACCAGTGCCATCACTCGGCATCTAACTGACACTGAACAGAAGGCGGACCCTTCAACACCTTCTAGATACTAAACAAACAAATACAATGCTTTGAAGTTTCCTAAGACCACAGCCGTCAAACGCCTTAAACCTAGTTGATATATTCAAAAGGAAACTATGGTCAGCTCCTATCTACCTTAGTGATCCTTCTCGATTATTATTTGAATACATCATCCAATATCGATTTTTAATGTTCATTCCTACACTCTCATTAAGTTGTCAAATTTTGTCTGTACATGTTTTCAACTAACTGAGTCCAACTTACAACACTTTGGTTATTTACCACAAAACCAACTTGTTTAATACTACAATATCAAGTCTATGTATAGGTACTGCTATACCTGTCGTTATTTTATTCAGGAAACTTTTGTAAGTTCACTTCTATCAACAGGGACCTCCTGTCATATTTCTACTGTTGACTTGCGAAACAATACGCTGAAAATACTTTGATAATATTCAAGAGTGTGCAATATGACTTGAAGACATTTTAGTGATCAAAACAAGAGAGCCATTCCATGTAATATATTAAAAGGAAAATTTTTGAAAGCCCAGGGTTCAAGTAGGAAGCTAATTAAGCATCAGCTGCATGAATAAATGTCAATAAATTTCTGTTTTCGGTTTAGGTCAAAATTAGTCACATCCGGCTCTGAGAGACAAGTCCATTGTAAACAGCTAAATAAAACTGATCCAAATCTGATTATCAAGTAACTTCGATTTCTTTATATCATCTAGAGAAAATTTAATGGTTTTATGAAGAAAGCAGAATGTAGAAGAGTATAGGCCAATTTGCTAGCCCTGATATTAGATATTTAAATCGTTACTACGGATTTTTGGTACTGCATACCAAAGTTTGGTTTCAAAGATGTAGTTCTTAAATGTCTATAAATGAAGCATCTAAGTAGTAGTCAGAAATGTATCGACTTTTTGTTGACTTCGAGAAACACACCATAGAAGAGATCTATTGGAAGGTGTAACCTCTCCTCCTGTTTAGTCGTTGTATCATATGACTAATCCAGTGTATCATGGTGTTCAAATTCAGTCAGGTATTTGAATCTACTCACAAGCATACATCTGAAAATTTAGTTCAGCAGAGATTTACATAAAATTCCATGGAAATCTAAAATAATGTTTTAAATAATACATGAAGTGTATTTTTGGTTGTTGGGCTTTGGTTTTTTTCCTTACCTCCCTCCGACTACCTAGTAAATTCGAACGATGGTTCGCCTGCCACAGGGCAGTTTCATCAACCAACTATGATTCATGACCTGGTTCTCAAAATTTTATCAACTTAGTGAATCATAGAACACGCCAAACTTTAGATTCAACTCGTAATTTTGTATTAGTACCAAGTATTCACTACTAGACATCAACAACCATAGTTGTTAGGTAGTTTAACAATTATAAAAAGTTTATTCTATATTATTTACTTTTCTTTTGATATGAACGTATTTCTAAAGGTGCGGCCCATCAGCTTCCTGTTTTATGTCAGTCCTTAAAAATTATGCGATGATTGTGATAGTAAATGTCGTAACCAGTCTAATCCTCTTTATCAAAATATGATATCATCTAGCTAAAGTTCTTTACATATTGAAATCCCCAGTTCACAGTCAACTCTCCAAAAAATACGGTGCTATTTTTTCCCGTAAAGACATTTTTCTGCTTTTATGTCTTAATAATCTCCGTATTACACAAAGTGGTTGATCGGGTTCATTTCACGTATATTATTACTCATAATAATTAACCCATATTGTTAATGATAATAAATATTGAGGGACTAACCTTGCACGTAATGCTAACTGTCTATCACTTGGGCATATATATGTTTCCATTGAATAAATCTTTCAAAGTAATTTGTGTGGATGAACTGTTATTATTCTTTATATATCTGCTGAATTGCAAGACCTTGTTTTGTATCTGGAACAACAGAAATAACGAATACAGAACATGGTTTCAAAATGATAAACTTTTATGAAAATGTTTTAAAACTAAAAACATTTTTGTGGTGTTTACTTATCTTCAACATAACCAAATTCAGTACTTATTGACTACAATAAAGAATAGACTAAACAGCTGATGTGGTCAGTCATATGAACACTTAAAAACTGTAGGTTGTGGATAAAATACATTACATCTGTGAACATTTATCGAAAAAGAAAATCAGACACTGGTGTTCCCATTGTGAATTCTCAGAAATTATTGATAAAAAGGAAATTGAATGTTTAATTGATTTTCGACAGTAATCTGTACAGAAGAGTTGACGAAATGGCTATTGGATCTCCATTGGACCCAATATTTGCTAACATATTTCTAGAGAATCGGTAAATGATCCCTTGGAAGGTCAGATTGTCAACATGCCGTTTTACGTTGGATATATTGACGATACGTTTCTAGCCTTTGATAAGTCTCTATGCATTAATTTTATTCTGAATCAATTAAACGGTACTTATTCTCATCAATCCATTGTACATAGGAAAACGAAACCAATGATTTGATACATTTCCTTGATATGCTACTGACAAGAAAAAAGATTGTTGTTTATGGAAAATCAACGTCTAAGCCATAGTACACAAACTTTCTCAGTATCATGCCAATAAAGCACAAACACAATATAATAAGTCACTTGGGATTTAGAGTAAGATCAACTTGTTGTATGGAATGTGTAGGTGAAAAACTGCTGTGTATTAATGATATTCTAGGTGAAAACGGATGTCCGGATAAGTTAATCGAAGCGAATGTCAATTGCACTGCTCTTAAATAAGAATCGATGTGAGCAGAAAAGCCTTTACTTCTGAGAGTACAATTCAAGGGAGACGCTATAAATGATATCCTATCACAACGCCTAGCTTCAGTAGTCGATAGAACGTTATACACAGGTCGGGTTTGTATATCTTCCAGTTGTAAGAGCAATATTCTATCCAAGATTAAAGGATAACCTGCCTAATTTTAGCACTTCATTTTGCATATATCAATTTAACTGTTTCTGTGGAACAGGTTAAACAGGGTGCACGATTAGGCAGGTGTGCCTCCAGATACCAGAGTATTTATTGGTTTGGTTCAAAAGACGAAAAGTGAAAGTGGTGAAAAGCTGCATTTTAGCACACCTTATAGACAAGAGATCATATAGATGTTAATAAAGTTTTCAGCTTCATTCATCATTTTCCAAAACCCACGTGTAGCTTGCCCAACATATGCTCAACATAATACAGGCTTATGAAACCTGAAATATACATCTACAAAGATCATATTCAAACGTTACTCTTACCATGATCTTCAGTAAACTAAAGGCTACTTCTCGCTTCGTTAATCGTTGTCTTTTCGTTCAGCATCAAAATATTCATCTGTGTATATATGTCACCTCAATACTGATAAATTAAAAAGACAAAACTCGATTTCTTCACAGTCTTTAAACCTAACTCCATTTTGAAAATGTATTTACCCGTAACTTAGCTTGGTTTTACGTCATACAAATTCAGTTTATAACTGTGGAACTTGATGAGAATTTATTTTTGGAAAATACGCTTCGTTCAGGTTGTTGTTTTTTGTTAATGTTATAGAAATTTTCAACAAAATATCAAATTAGGCCTGAAACTGCAGCTTTAAAGGGACATAATGATGTGTGTTTAAACCAATCAGACGATAATAATACTTAAAATGGCACTTTTCAACCTAGTTGAAATCCTTTACTGTTTAGAAAGATTCAAATAAATTTCTAAACTGGTACCAGTGCTAGTGATTAATGAAGAAAGGTATTGTACAAACAGTCTAACAATGTACAACCAACCCTTACAAGTTCCTTGTATTGATTTGTTTGTTAAATGTCTTATAAAAAGTAAGTAGCCTACAACCTTGTCATCCAGTTTTACAGTTTTTACCCGTCCTAATCAGATTTATGTCACTCAATTCTATTACATAACAAGTTGCTCAAAAGGGTGTTCAGAAAACTTGTATATCCATCTACAGAACCAGTCGTAATAAAATTTCATGCGTAAATAAATAAAAACACTAGCTTTCTAATAACTTAAAGAGTAGATATAAACCCACTGTGTGATGACGAAGTTAACAACTTAATCTTGTAATGTTATTTTGGTGGTTATGCATCCTGAATTCATATTTAATTGGAACTTTTGAGAAGTAACTCTAAAGACTAACCACAGCCAAGTTCTCAATATGTATCTATTGTATACTACGCTATATCAGCCTTAATTATTGAAGTTCATGATAGAACTAATGTGTTAGTATTCGAATACAAAAGAAAAAGCGTTTTACATAGTATCTCCTTCCCACATGATCTTTACATATGAGTTCCCCATGGACACCATTTTGAAATGATTATCTGAAACCCCAACAGATTAACTACTACTTCATTATATACCTTCTTCAAGAATTAATTTTCTTGCACATTAAATGTGTTATCAATTTAACCACTTGAGCATAGGCTATGCAACCTCCCAAGAAAATATGTCTAGCAGCCATATGTTTTGAGAGTCCTTTGGTTTCAGTTATTATTAAAATCTAGTGTACAGTTACCTGATTTTTATCACGTCTGGAACAATTATCTATACCCTTTTTTGAACCTTTCCGTTCAAACCTTACATTTCAAGTAAAAACCTTCTTTTTTTGCAAGTATTACTTTAAGAGGGTGATTTTATTGCGTTAGAAAAGAAACGCTAATCTAACTTGTCCAGGAGATCACTTTCGACTTTTAATTATTCTCATCATTTAATGATTATGAAAAGAAGATTCAAACCCTAGTTGAGATGTACACTGCTTAAATAAAATACTAGTTGTATTCTATATTGTACACTCTAGGACAAACAACCAGAAACGAAGTCATGAAATTCCATACAAGTGGCTGTATGAAGTCTCGTCATGAATGTCAAATTAAGAAAATGCATTCTCTTTCAAAACTATTTATCAGCGTGTCGAAAAAGAAAATTAGCAGTTTATAATTTAGAAGCAAGATTGTATCTTGCGACCTGATAATACTACTAATGGTTCACCATTTCATGAAATGATACTTCAGAGATAAGTCTTATGAAGCTATTGAACAATAAAAAAACCAGACATGAAATGCATAAATTTTTTCCATGTTTTAGGTTTTATTTAAATTTTTATCTTTATTCCACCAGTTCAGCCTAATGATGAAAAGCAATTCAAACAATTTGTTCAATAAGTCATTTAGTCATAAATTAATGATAATCAACTCGCTCTATAGTAATCTAAAAATATGTTTAGTCTGCATAGTTTTGGAGATAAACATAAGGAAATGAAAATAAAATGCCTGAAAATTGGAAGTAAAGGATTTTGCATTAATTTACTTCATCTCTACTACTCTTTTTTTATCTAGATGACAAAAGGACATTGAAGAAATTTGAAAATGCGTATGTTTTAAGTTCTTCCAAGAATGTATACATCTAGGAAGTGAAAATGAGTCGATAGACAGATCTTTATGAGAAATGGATAAAGAAAGAAAGTTTTCAAGGATAAAACAATGACTAACCAGGTTGAACCTTTAAAGACTTATCTCTGGCATAGTTTAGAGAGTTTTGCTATTGACATTAATTGTTATAAACCTGACTGATCTTTCTTCAGACAAACATTAATGACATAATATTGAAAAATAACACAGAAGGTTGTCATGTCACAGAAAAATGTTAGTCTTTATTCCTTGACACGTAAGAACATTTACTAGCCAATTTTTAAGTGACTTGATTCTGAGAGATGAATATCTTAGTCTTTCTTGGAGACATTTCTTTTGTTGTAATCCAGGGATATTTTTAACTCTGAGAAAAAAACAGTGAACATACAGATGTATGAGTCGACTTGTTTTACATAATTATAAATTATAAAGTAAACTGCATTATTTGACTAAACAAAACACCTCACAGTAAAGACAAATGAACATCATAGAAAACTTCAATTAATTCACTTAACTGTCCGTCAACCGACCAATTTAGGAGGATGCTTGAGCAGTTTAACCAACACACCACGAACTAGTAGACCTGATCATTTAAATAGTATATATATATATGAGAAATACCTGGTTATAAAATCAGACGTGTTCCTAGCAGTTTGGCGAGTTGTAGTTGGTAATGGTAAAAGTCTAGACATAGACTTTTATTACTCCTGCAGGGAACATAGAATCTCAGTTATTATACTTGGTCATAATCTTATAAATCAAGGTAGATATTCTAGTTTTGTAACAATATATCCACTTACTGCTTTGATTACTAGCAGTGTCGTGCAGAATAAAATTCTTATAAATCATCCATACAAATGAACATTAATATGTGAATAATAAAGCTAAGTGAATTGCATAGGAGAACATGAGGAATCGCAAATGGAAACTAGAACTTAGAAGCTGAATCTCTGTGCCAAGTGAGCTATGATTTCACCATTCACTGTCAAGTAGTGAGAACCTCAGGAAAGAACATATCTTTATCCAGGTTGGTACTCATCGTAGACTGACATAAGTCCGAGGAACATTAGAAACCTGGGGGCACTGGACAGCTATTTCGTCTTAGTATGCGACTCCTCACCTGTGCAGACCCACGAACCCCCAAGGGATCAAACCTGAGACCTTCATGTCCCACGGCCAGCACGTCACCACTGAGCCACTGAGTCGGGATCCAATGACCCATATTTCTAACTCCTGTCAGTTAACAACATAGCGCGGCCACCACTCCATGTCATCGTTGAGTACTTGTCCTCACGGCGGTCGCGCTATGTCATAAACTGACAGAAGTTGGAAATATGGACCACTGGATTGCGATCTACCGGCTCAATGATAACGTGCTGGTCATGGGACCTGAAGTTCGTAATTTCAATCTCTGATGGGGTCGTGAAAGCACGCTGGAGAGGAGTCCCATACTAAGATGAAACAGCTGTTTAGTGCTCCCAGGTTTCTAATGTTC